TTTTCTAGCATTTTAAATACAGTTGCTCCTTTACGCTTAAGGAAGATTAAGGAAAACAGTCTGACACCGTGGTATAATGAGCACACTCGCACCCTAAAGAGAGCAGCCCGGAAAATGGAGCGCAGCTGGAGGAAAACAAAACTAGAGGTATTTCGTATTGCTTGGCGGGAAAGAAAACCTATCCTACAGAAAAGCATTAAAAACTGCTAGATCTGATTACTTTTCTTCTCTTTTAGAAGAAAACAAACATAACCCCAAGTATTTATTCAATACAGTGGCTAAACTAACGAAAAATAAAGCATCAACAGGTGTTGACATTTCCCAACAGCACAGCAGTAATGACTTTATGAACTACTTTACTTCTAAGATCGATACTATTAGAGATAAAATTGTAACCATGCAGCCGTCAGCTATAGTATCGCATCAGATAGCTTGCTATAGATCGCCTGAGGAACAATTCCACTCATTCTCTACTATAGGAGAGGAAGAATTGTATAAACTTGTTAAATCATCTAAACCAACAACATGTATGTTAGACCCTATTCCATCTAAGCTCCTAAAAGAGGTGCTTCCAGAAGTCATAGATCCTCTTCTGACTATTATTAATTCATCATTGTCATTAGGATATGTCCCCAAAACCTTCAAACTGGCTGTTATTAAGCCTCTCATCAAAAAACCACAACTTGACCCCAAAGAACTAGTTAATTACAGACCGATCTCGAATCTCCCTTTTCTGTCCAAGATACTAGAAAAGGTAGTATCCTCACAATTATATTCCTTCTTAGAGAAAAATGGTATCTGTGAGGATTTCCAGTCAGGATTTAGACCGTATCATAGTACCGAGACTGCTCTCATTAGAGTTACAAATGACCTGCTCTTATCATCTGATTGTGGTTGTATCTCTCTATTAGTGCTATTGGATCTTAGCGCTGCGTTTGACACTATTGACCACAACATTCTTTTGCATAGACTAGAAAACTTTGTTGGCATTAATGGAAGTGCATTAGCATGGTTCAAATCGTACTTATCTGACCGCCATCAATTCGTAGCAGTGAATGAAGAGGTATCATATCGATCACAAGTGCAGTATGGAGTACCTCAAGGCTCAGTACTAGGGCCATTACTCTTCACGCTTTACATGTTACCCTTGGGAGATATTATCAGGAAACACGGTGTTAGCTTTCACTGTTATGCTGATGATACTCAGCTCTATATTTCTTCGCAGCCCGGCGAAACATACCAATTTGAAAAACTAGCGGAATGCATAGTCGATATAAAAAACTGGATGATGAGTAATTTCTTACTGCTAAATTCTGAAAAAACAGAGGTGTTAATTATAGGACCTAAAAACTCTGCATATAATAACCTAGAACACTCTTTAAGACTTGATGGCTGCTCTGTCAATTCTTCGTCATCAGTTAGGAACCTAGGTGTGCTATTTGATAGCAATCTTTCGTTAGAAAGCCACGTTTCTAGCATTTGTAAAACTGCATTTTTCCATCTCAAAAATATATCTAAATTACGACCTATTCTCTCAATGTCAAATGCAGAAATGTTAATCCATGCGTTTATGACCTCAAGGTTAGATTATTGTAATGCTTTATTGGGTGGTTGTTCTGCACGCTTAATAAACAAACTCCAGCTGGTCCAAAATGCAGCAGCTAGAGTTCTTACTAGAACCAGGAAGTATGACCATATTAGCCCGGTTCTGTCAACACTGCACTGGCTCCCTATTAAACATTGTATTTTAAAATCTTGTTTATTACTTATAAAGCCCTGAATGGTTTAGCACCTCAGTATTTGAACGAGCTCTTGTTACATTATAGTCCTCCACGTCCGCTGCGTTCTCAAAACTCTGGCCATTTGATAATACCTAGAATATCAAAATCAACTGCGGGCGGCAGATCCTTTTCCTATTTAGCGCCCAAACTCTGGAATAACCTACCTAACATTGTTCGGGAGGCAGACACACTCTTGCAGTTTAAATCTAGATTAAAGACCCATCTCTTTAACCTGGCTTACACATAACACACTAATACGCTTCTAATATTCAAATCCGTTAAAGGATTTTTAGGCTGCATTAATTAGGTCAACCGGAACCGGGAACACTTCCCATAACACCCGATGTACTTGCTACATTGTTAGAAGAATGGCATCTACGCTAATGTTAGTCTGTTTCTCTCTTATTCCGAGGTCACCGTTGCCACCAGATCCAGTCTGTATCCATATCAGATGGTCACTGCAGTCACCCGGATTCAGTACGTATTCAGACCAGATGGTGGCTCAGCACCTAGAGAGGACCTCTACAGCCCTGAAAGACAGCGGAGACCAGGACAACTAGATGAGTCCCAGATACAGATGTTATTCCCCTGTAAAGACCTTGTCTCAGACGACCACCGGGACAAGACCACAGGAACCAGATGAGTCTTCTGCACAATGTGACTTTGCTGCAGCCTGAAATTGAACTGCTGGTTTTGTCTGGTCAGAGGAGAACTGGCCCCCCGACTGAGCCTGGTTTCTGCCAAGGTTTTTTTTTCTCCATTCTGTCACCGATGGAGTTTTGGTTCCTTGCCGCTGTCGGCTCTGGCTTGCTTAGTTGGGGACACTTCATTTCCGGCGATATCGTTGACTTGATTGCAAATATACTATTTAAACTGAACTGAGCTGAATGAAGAATCACTGAATTCAATGATGAACTGTCTTTAACTGGAAAATTAGTGTTTACTATTGTCATTTTGCATTATTGAGACACTATTTTCCTAATTAATGCTGTTCAGTTGCTTTGACACAATCTGTATTGTTAAAAGCGCTATATAAATAAAGGTGACTTGACTTGACTTGACTCCATTTTATGAGACTGTAAACGGAAAATTACAGTATAATCTATTTCATATTTTTATTTTTGTTCTTGTAAGCTGTGCAGACGACCTCTGTTGCATTTCTCTAGTTGTTAGTGTTTGTGATGTCCTGTTCTCCATTTCATTTATTATAGTTTTGTAGCATACAGTAAACGCACAACCAGCTGTCTTATTGAAACCTCTGGCTCCCTCTAGTGGCAAATATGAGGTAATGTTACATTTCTATGACTGGCCTAAACATGACATTTCTTGGTTTCATTAAAATTAGTTGTATGCACTTGTATTGTGTGGTAGTGGATATAGAACAAATATTTATCTTCTTGTGTTCTGGTTTGATTGATTATAAATGACACTGATTTACTCGCCTCCTGTATGTTCAAAAACAAGACAAAAAATGAATCTGGAGAAATGACACTTTGGTAAAATATTTGATAATTACATAGAGGCATTATTTTAATGCAGATGTTGTTATGCTCAAAGTCAAAGTGAAGGGAAGGAAGCAGATAAACTTATGTTCAGCTGTCATCAGTGATGCTGAAGTTTGTCTGAAAGCTGCTGTCCGTGGTGCTGAATCCACAAATCTACCATATTATTAGTGGTTTTTATGCATAAAGTATCCACACACAAAAAAAAAAACACAAATCTAAATCCAATGAGATATGGTCTGTTTCCTTATAAATAGATGCTGATGTTTCTTGCAGCTAATTTTTTTTTCCCCAAGAGTGCCTTGTTGTAGACTGTATGGAGCACGGTGAACTTATATGCACAGCTGTCCTCTAGTGGGAGAATAAAAAAATGCTCACCCTGATCTGAACTGCTTGAGTGTCATTTGTCCTCATATATAACATGAAGCCTGTATGAGCTCTCAGTGTCAGACACTGTATCCTCCACTAGGTGGCGCTCTTTCAGTGTGATTAATGTGATATTCAGTCAGTGGTGATGGTGGGAGGAGCCAGTAAGCTGCTCATTACTGATAAAGAGCTGAATAAAGAGGAAGTAACTAAAGCAGACAGATGTAGAGACAGAGAGATTCACACAGAGATCATTCAGCATAAAGAAGACTGAACTCAACTCACAATGAAGATCCTCCTCATCTTCCTCACTTTCTACCTGATCTCAGGTCAGAGCTTTTCTCTTTCATCACTGCAGTAATGATGCTGTTTTCTGTTCATCAGCTTTCTGATCACAGTATCAATCTGATTGACAGCTGCAGTGAGATGCTTTAGCGTCACGGGATATTCTGGAGCAAGTCTTCTGGTTGATTCTGGGAAACATTGGTCCAGTGACTCTGCTAAATATATGGTGTTCTTCAGATGTTAAAGGTTATTTATGGAACCATTTAGACAAAAAGGTTCTTCTATGGCATCGTGAAGCACCTTTATTTTTAAGAGTGAAGGTTCAATTTGTTAACATAATTTATTAACATGAACACAAATTTTGCAGCATTTATTAATCTGGGTTAATGTTCATGTATTTAGAAATTGAATACTGTTAATAGCAAGTTAATGTTTGTTCATAACACATTAACTTATTGGTTTCACTTTATTTGATGGTCCCTTTAACACATTCTGTTGACTATATAAGCAACATTGCACCTAACTCTCATTAGAGTATTAGTAGACTGGTTAGAATAAGTTGACATGTACTTGCAAAGTTACTTATAGTCAGTAGAATGTCTTTTGGGAGACCACAATAAAGAGTTAGCAGATATTAATCAGAGAGTTTACCAATACTCTAATGAGAGTTAGAAGACATAGGTGCAACGTTATTTATTGTCAAAGGAATGTTCAAAAAGAACCATTAAAATAAAGTGGTATTTATGCTCATTTATACATATTGAGATATTAAAATGTACATCTGTATTTTGTACGAGTATCTGTTTGGGTTAACCTAGATTAATAAATGCTGGGGACAATTATTGTTCATTGTTATGATACTTAATGCAACTATGTTAAGAAATTAAACCTTATTTTGTTGTAAGTTAATTTAAGTGACACACTCTCTGCTTTGGCTGACGTTTTGTGCTTTTCTGAACTAATATCACAGACATATAAATGACATGGCATTTTTATGCAACCTCATTACATCTACTTAACAAAACATCACATGTTATATAAATGTTCTCTTTTGTGTAAATGACAGATCCATGTTGTAAAGTGTCAAAGAGAGTGGAGGGGAGAAGGAAACGAACTTCCATCTTTAAATGTGAATATTCACAGAATCATATTAATAATCCCAAGATCATATTCAAAGAGGGAAACGACTCCATTGATGAGATTATAAACAGCACATTGAAAAAGAATGGAAGGTTCAGTATGTCTGAAAGAACAGATCAAAAATACATAACTTTGGTAATTTCTGCTGTGACACCAGATGATGGAGGAGTTTATTTGTGTGGAGTTCAGATCAATACACTCTCATACAGTTACTCCATTATTACTACTGTTCATCTACATATTGTTCTGGGTGAGTACACTGTAGATCCAGATGTTACCTTTCATTGCTGTAACCCAATACAGTCATTCTGAGTTTAATGTTTAATAATATATTTGACTTGAATGAAATTAAATATATTATCATTATATTATTATCATTTGATGTATACATATAAAGTGATATTTGTGATAAACAGATGTAGTGGGCGTGTCTAGAGTGAGCGGCTACTCAGGAGGTCGTCTGATGATCAAGTGTGAACATCCTCAATACAAAACCAAACCAAAATACATCTGTAAAGAATCAGACGGATGTTCAGAGAGGAAGAATCCAGGAGTTCGGGATCAATGGATGGAGAATGGAGATGTTTCTTTATATGACGACACCAGAGCAGGAGTCTTGATGGTGTTGTTTAGAGAGCTGAAAGCTGCAGATGCAGGAACATACAGGTGTGGAGTGAAAGTATCTGAGTATACTGAGAGCTTCACTGAACTACAGCTGAGCGTCAAACACGGTGAGGAACAGAAAGTACTTTATCTTGCATGTATGATGTATTTATTATGACTTTTTATGTTGACCTCTCTTGCTTTGTAGATGCAAAATATCCAAACAGCATGACTGAATCTGCTCATTTTGGTGATGAAGTCAACATCACCTGTCAGATCCCAGAGAAAAATACAGTTAATTTCTGCAAAGAGGAAGATAATCACATCTGCCAGAACATCAGCTCATCTAAAGTGACACAAATGAGTGGTTCATCTGAGAGAAATGAAGAGAGAGTTGTTACAGTGAGCATCAGTAATGTGAGCGTGAGAGATGCTGGAGTTTACTGGTGTGGAGCAGAAACCAGAGACACATATCTGACTTTCATCTCCCTGAACACTAAAATTCAGCTCAACCTCATCAGTGAGTCCATTCAGATGATTTCACTGTAATAAATACAGTCTGTTCAGAATCATGTGTGTTGAATGTCTGTTTGATTGTTTTTCAGTGGCTCCAGTAGTGAGACATGAAGGAGAATTTGCTGAGATCTTCTGCCCTTATGATTCAATCTATAAATCAAAGCCAAAGTCTCTCTGTAAGGGGAAGTGCTCCACTAGAGACAGAGATACTCTCAGTGAGACTGTGAGAGAAGAGAAAGAGACCAAGACTGACAGATTGACTCTGAAAGATGACGTCACTGCAAGTGCCTTCTCTGGGAGCATCACTGCACTGACAGCAGAGGATGCTGGGAAATACTGGTGTGCAGTGACATTAGAAACAGAGCTCAATTATCTTCACACTCATCTGATCGTCATCATGAACGAGGGTGAGGAAGGTTAGATATTCACAGTATATGCAAATATGAATATTCATTTGCAGGGTTTTTTTATGATTTGTTACTAGTGTAATATTCAGAAACTTGAAAATGGCATGTTTGATGCTTTCTGTCACAAATGCTGGAGGTGTTTTTTGTGTTGCATGATGAACAGAACTGTTTTTCCATCCATCTCAAAGCCACAGAAAACTGGTGAAGGTTCAGCGTCTCAGTTTGGTTTGAGTGTGAATATTAAACAGACTTCTTCAGGAAACCCACAGTGAGACACATGAGACTGAAGATGAACATCCATTGTGCAGAAGACAAAGACTAAGAGCTGCTCATTCAGTAATTCACCTCAAAAAATCACTGGAAGTGTTTGTTTCTTATCAAAGAAAACAATAAATCAAAAACAGATCAAAGAAAATCAAAACAATGAGCAGAGAATGAACACTGAACAGAGAATGTCTAATCATTTTTTAAATGTCACGCATTTGTATTGTTAGTACATTTATGTCAATACACTTTAAAGAAGCAACATCTGCAAGATTTATTTTATATTTCACTGTGTGTTCTCAGATTTTCCATCATTATCTCTCTGGTCAAATTCTAAATATCATAGCATATTTTTGTATGGCAGTAATAGTGAGAGCTATACACTAGTTTGCTTTTCTAAATTCAGTCAGTAAGTCAAAAAATAAAAATTAACCTGGCTACTTTAGTAGGGATAAAGTGGCCTGCTTGTAAATGTCTCCGTGCTTTATGTTTGCAGAGTGTGCTTAAGATCATCTACATGAGATGCTCTCCAGCTTGTGGTTTTCTTTTGCTCTATTTATATGTCTTTGGTCAAACCAAAAACCTTCAGCCACCTGCAGGTATGATTAAAAATGAAATGTTTATCTTAGTACACTCTAAAAAAAAAAAAGGTTCTTCAGCGGTTCTTTGGAGTGGTTAAGGTGCTATATAGCACCACTACCGTATAAAGAACCTGTTAAGCCCCTGTATGGTTCTTCAGCGGTTCTTCAGTGGTTCTTTGGAGTTGATGAGGTGCTATATAGCACCTCTTATAGTTCTACATGGCACCATTTGACAAAGGTGCTATATAGCACCTGTAAAAATAGGTGCTAAATAGCACTAAAAGTGGTTCCCCTATGATTACGAGCCAAAGAACCGCTTTTAGTGCTATATAGCACCATTTGTTTTAGAATGTAGATGGACACAGATTTTCCACTCCATAAAAACATGCGGTCAATTTGTTTAAAGGGGTCATCGGATGCCTATTTTCCACAAGTTGATATGATTCTTTAGGGTCTTAATGAAAAGTCTGTAACATAGTTTGGTTAAAATTTTTCAATGTTAGTGTAAACCAACACCCTTTTTACCCTGTTAAAAACAGCTCTTTTCAGAGCAAGACGTTTTGTTGCAATATACTGTAAAGTTTCCACTCCAAATACAGAGATACACAGTATATTTTTAAAATGCAGCTTTTGACATTAGATTTAATAAAACCTCTTCTATAGCAGCTCTTAAACAGACACAAGTTCAACCAACCTTTATGAGACACATGAATCTGTTCAGAGCTTTTAAAATGTCTGTTTTCTTCTTCTCATCTCTGAGTTTTGATCTTTGTACATTTATAATTCTTAGTATTTGTTGATAAATGTGTTCATGATTTTAATAGTGTCATTATTTTAGCACAGTGAAAACTTCAGCATTAACTTACTGACAGATATTTTTGCTGATGTTGTTTTCAGTTCAGTCTTGTTCTCTTTGTTCTTTTTCATTTTTTCTTATTTAATAACTCCTTATATTTTTACTGTAGAATCATTTTATTGAAAAATAAATAGTTTTGGGAAATTATTTCTTGTTTATTGTCCAAAGCTGTTATTTAAAATTTTACATTAAAAATACAATCCTTACAATAAAACAGTTTTATCAGTTCTGTAAAGGATAAAGTCTGAGTCTGAAATCTTAATGATATAATTGTATTAATTTTAGTTTTTTATTTTTTATTTAAATTTTCACATTTTAACTACATTCAGGCCATTTAAAATCTGAATATATATATATATATATATATTGTTATATATTGTTTTTTGTGTTTGAATGATAAACGCACCATTTTTCCGTCCAGCTCAAAACCACAGAAAACAGGGGAAGGTTCAGGGTCTAAGTTTAGTTTGAGTGTGAAGATCAAAACAGCTTTCTTCAGGAAACCCACAGTGAGACACATGAGACTGAACACAAGACAGATGAACATCTTTGTGAACAGAAGAAAATAAAGACTAATATCTGCTCACTCAGTGATTCACCTTCAACATTTACTGAAATTAATGAATTGAGAAAAAGCGTGAAAATGTTTATGATCAACAAATTATCTATATGTTATTTTACAGTACTTTTTACATCAAACAAAAACAAATCAATGACCAAAAATGTCTATCAAAAATGCTTTGAATGTCGCTGCTGTATTATTTACTGCATTTAGTACATTTACATTAATTTAATAACATACAATTTATGTCAATGCTACTTTAACAGAACAGAACAGAACAGAATTACCGAATGTGTAATGTCAGTTTCTGATGTGATATTGTGGTGGGATCCTCATCAGACAGCAAACAGATGAGAAACAGTGAAATGATGAGTCTGTACATTCACGTTTGAATGTTTACAAAAACAAGTAAAAAAGAAAACATAAGTTTGATCTTTTTAATCAAGGTGTGTAATTTCAGAAAAATGCTCTTTAACCCAGTATTTTTTTTCTTCTTTTGTTTTTAACTAGGTAAAGTGACTTGCTTGTAAAAGTCTCAGTGCTTTGTGTTTGCAGGGTTCTTTATTAATGTGGTCAGCGTGATAAACATCGTTAACATGTGCTGCTCTTCGTTTGTTTTTTTTGTTTTTTTTTGCCTTTAAATTCTTTTGGTCAAACCAAAGACCTTCAGCCCCCTGCATGCGTGATAAAAACAGGAAATAGTTTTTCAGTACACACCCTTAACAAATTTTCCACTCCATAATAAAGATGCTGTATGTATATGATGTGTGTAATATATGAATAAAATATGCCTCTTTCTCCAAATGGTTTTATTGTAGATATCTGAAATATTTATTAGATGGAAGCTCAAAACTGTTTTTGCTAACAAGTACAACCAACTGTAGCAATAAATAAGTGTGCATTATAAAATATCGAACCCCTCAGTGGCTTTTGCTCTCAGTCGCACTGGAATTCCTCATGCTGTTGTTCATTAGCCTTGTACTCAGAAGACCCGAAATAATACATCAGTATTTTGAAACGGGAAATCGTTTGAATCGTTTTTGTGTCAGACTGTGGTCCACTATGGCACATAACACTTTCAGTTCTTATTTAGATTATAAATATTCAAATATGAAAAAAATGACGCACACACTCGAGGGCCAATGAGGATTAAGCTCAGGTTGGACTCCTCCCTTTTGTCCTTATATGGCGCTGAGCGCAGCGAGTCCGTTTGAATGTAAACAAAGTTCGCGGGTAAATCGTCCTATAAATGAACAGACAGATCAGCGAGGACAAGATTTCAGTGAGTAATCATTTACATTTGGATCTGTTCCTCACACAAACCTATTGTATGTCTTCAAAAGAGATCTAACAAACTCAAACAACATGTGACTAAAATAATGGCCTTTACTAATTATACAGTATATGTATCATTATATTAAACGTGCTAAGATATTAAAATGACTCATTTCAAACAATATATCAGACTAGATTTTTACATATTCAGAATATATGAAACTGTATGAGCACTATAATGTTGTGAAATTTAAGGATAGCGTATTTTAAGGACAGAATAAAGACATGAGGACAATAAAGAGACTGCATTGTATAGTTTGTGAAATAATAATGTGAGAGTTTGAGACTGTAAACGCAAAATTACAGTATAATCTATTTCATATTTTTATTTTTGTTCTTGTAAGCTGTGCAGACGACCTCTGTTGCATTTCTCTAGCTGTTAGTGTTTGTGATGTCCTGTTCTCCATTGCATTTATTATAGTTTTGTAGCATACAGTAAACGCACAACCAGCTGTCTTATTGAAACCTCTGGCTCCCTCTAGTGGCAAATATGAGGTAATGTTACATTTCTATGACTAGCCTAAACATTACATTTCTTGGTTTCATTAAAATTAGGTTTTTTTTGGACGTATATTGTGTGGTTGTTTATATAGAACAAACATTTATTTTCTTGTGTTCTGGTTTGATTCATTATAAATGACACTGATTTGCTCGCCTCCTCTATGTTCAAAAACAAAGAATGAATCTGGAGGAATTAAACTTTGTCCTAATATTTGATAATTACATAGAGGCATTATTTGAATGCAGATGTTGTTATGCTCAAAGTCAGAGTGAAGGGAAGGAAGCAGAAAAACTTATGTTCAACTGTCATCAGTGATGCTGAAGTTTGTCTGAAAGCTGCTGTCCGTGGTGCTGAATCCACAAATCTACCACATTATTAGTGTTTTTTATGCATAAAGTATCCAAAAAATAAAATAAAAACCAAAAGCCAGTCAGATATGGTCTGTTTCCTTATAGTTGATGTTGGTGTTTCTTACAGCTAATAAAAAAAGTCAAAAATCCAAATCAGATTTTTTTTGTTTGTTTGTTTTTCAAGCCTTGTTGTAGACTGTATGGAGCACGGTGAACTTATATGTACAGTTGTCCTCTAGTGGGAAATTTAAAAAAATGCTCACCCTGATCTGAACTGCTTGAGTGTCATTTGTCCTCATATATAACATGAAACCTGTATGAGCTCTCAGTGTCAGACACTGTATCCTCCACTAGGTGGCGCTCTTTCAGTGTGATTAATGTGATATTCAGTTAGTGGTGATGCTGGGAGGAGCCAGTAAAGCTGCTCATTACTGATAAAGAGCTTAATAAAGAGGAAGTAACTAAAGCAGACAGATGTAGAGACAGAGAGATTCACACAGAGATCATTCAGCATAAAGAAGACTGAACTCAAGTCACGATGAAGATCCTC